CCCCCCCCCCCCGTCTCACTGTCTCCTGCTAAGCACATTGTTTCAACCGCAGATTGGTTCAATCCTCCATGTGCTTTCTCGCTGATCTCTCTCTTGCTTGAGAGACTGACCAACACTATTGGTTCGCGCTCCACCAGTCTTCAAATGCTAATCCTACCCGCGAATTTGGCCTCTCTTTCGCACTCTGTTGATCGATTCACTGCCGAAATAGGCAATAGCAGAGATTGTGCGAGACAGAACGCACGGAAAAATGAACTGATCCTTTTTGTCCTCATTTCGCTATCCCTATTTATTTAAATGGCCATGCGATTGGTCAGCTAAAAATTAAAACAGAAATCCAGTCTTATGGACGGTTAACGTCAAGGGCAATTGGGTTTTTGCCACGAGTTTCGTCCTGCTCATGTCAGAGGAGTGACACATTTTCGTCCGTTCTTTGTGCGNCTACTTCCGGTTGACCCGAGCGAGGAAATGAGATATCCTCGGGGATCCCCACCCGAAGCCTTTGGTTAGAAAGCCAGACCTGCAAGACAGTAGAACGGAACTTAGAGTCCGCAGTGCATTGGGGGCCGGTGCCCAATTCATCGAATCATACGCCCTTTGGACGGGTGCAATCGTCCAATGTGTCCAGTCCTATAGACCACCTGCGTTGAATCTGACTACGCATTAGTTCTGATGCAGTTGACTCTCCGACTCACTGGTCAGCGACAATCTGCAAACTCGGTTAGTTCATCACCGCCTGTCTGTTCCACCATTTCTTGCACACTGCGAGTCAGAGCTAAGCCCGCGTCAGCGTGATAGTATAGATCAGCAGTGAGATCAGATTAGCCCAGAAATGCATCCCGCAGCGAATGTTGCTTGTGGGTCTGAGCATCAAGCCTGTCGAAGGCATTAGATATCTCATGAGTCAATTGCCCTGATGAAGAACAAACGACCTATCTCGAGCTGCTAGGATCAAAACAGGGTTAGGTGGCGTCTGCAACATCGGCTGACAAAGCCTCAAGAAGGACCGTGAGAACTGGTGGGCAACAATAGCTACTGAAATGGAAGTAGCACCTGCATCAGGGATTGTTCAAACTGATACGCATCATCAGAGGTCGGCAAAGTCCTGTTAGTGAAACAGCCTGCGGTAATTTTGGACAAGCTATTCACAATGGGGAACCACGGCCTGATCACTTCAGCGATCAGTTCCGCTAGCCTGGTGCTAGCCAGGTTACTTCATCTGCAATTGAAGCTCCGTGGTCAGTGTCGTGCGATCCTCCAACAGAAGCAGAATTTCGGTCTGGAGTTCAAGGTTTGAAACGAGGAAAAGTAGCAGGGCCGGACGGGCTCCCTCCCACTCTTATCAACAGGCCTTCTTTTTCTATCCATGTCTTGTATTATTTTTGAGCGCCCCTTCAAATGGTAAACAGATTCGGCCGGTCCCGACATCCATTTTAGGGGTGGGAGAGGGGTGCACTGTGGAGGAATTCTCGGACAATGGTATTTTCATCGCCATCCACACCGTTCCATTGAGTGCGTGATGCAGTCCTATTTATTCTGTAGAATAAAATTAATAAATTATCTTGTTTCCTCTGATTTATTTTGTTTTCATTGATTTATTTCTACACGTAACCGAATACAGAGAACTTGCAAATGTGCCACAACATATGAACAAAAATAAATCTGAAGAATGTGTTCATAGATTGTGTGGGCATGTTACTTCAGTTGTCCCCTGGCCGAGGGGGATAACCTCGGGGTCCCCACCCGAAGCCTTTGGCTAGAAAGCCAGACCTGCAAAACAGCAGGACGGAACTCAGAGTCCGCCATCCATTAGGAGCTGGTGTTCAGTTCATTGGATCGTACACCCTTTGGACGGGGTCAAACGTCCAAGGTGCCCGATACACCTTGATGCCCAATCGAGCCGGTGACCATTGCCACAACAAGGAAGTTGTGTGTGGTTCGTACGCCTCTTCTTGGTTGGTTTGGAGTCAGGGTTTTTGGCCAACTCCCCTGGGTGAACTTTTAGTGGTTCATCGACCCGGTTATAGTCCCAGATTTTGGCTTTTCGTCCTCTCACTTTGGTGGGAAAACACCTCCACCACGGAAAGGCAGTGAGTAGGGCTTCATGAGCTGAGGCTATTTGAGACGCTTGATCATATAGAAGCATTTCGCCAGGTGTAAGGGAATGGTGACCATTCATCATCCCAGACACCCACCCCGACTATGCTGAGGCTTTCGGTGAGTCTAGTAGAAGATTGATTTGAGTGAAACCTATGAACAGAATTATTTGTGACAGATACGATCATTTGATCCTCCAGGGAGTTTCCTTAAACTGAAGTTCATTTAGTTCCTTTACAACTTGTGTAGTTCATGCTTAATTCCAGTTTTTGTGAGTAGTCTATCATTTTTCCTTGCGGTTCAGGTTCCCTGGTTAACAGTTACACCCACATGTACGGTTTTGTCTAACGACGCTGGTAACATTTTATGCGTCCAAATAAATTGCGCCATCTTCGAAACTAACAGTTGTTTCTATGTGCTATTAATGGCTTGCACTGTTGAACTGACTTCTTCGTCGCCTTGCCTTAGTGATTTCTTGTCTTTTAATTTATCATTTGCGCTCATTTTCCCTTGCCTTCTCACCTCTCCTCGCTTTCCTCCGCTGCCCTGCCGTGTTCCCCTCTCGCCCCCATCCAAATCACTTTAACTTGTCGCGAGTAGCTGTTTAGCAACAAATCAGACGTGTGGAGTTTCGGTATACTGCTATGGGAAATCTATTCCTACGGTCGAATCCCCTATCCACGCATGGTGAGTTCTACGGCAGTATTGTGCCTGTGCCTGTGTGTGTGCTGTTTTTATCATGATTTCGGTCCGTTTATGAGACAAAAGCCTGTTGCCGTTTTGACTGCATAAACGCATTATTAACTTTGAATTCTGAAAATCGGCTGATTTACTTGTGGATCAACGCTAGGTGTGCGTCTTATGCACTTCGCTTCTGATGTGCCTTATTTGCAACCGTTTCTTTTCGCCAATCCAAACCGGTGGTTTTGTCTTCTTTTCCGGTTTTCGTCACGTGTCTCTGAGACGAACAATTCACCGACTGTGGGTTGTTTTCATCCACGTGACCAGGCCGTAGGTTTCCTCCGAGCAATTGACTTGTTCGATGTACGCAGCGGAAATGTCAGCTGGGGTTTATTTTGAATGTAGAATAATTTCCGTGTGTTCAAACTAAAGAATATTAACTTGGTTTATCAATCGGCGAGATATGAAACAGAGCGCAATTATCCTCTCATGATCATCATATAGATACTTTTATCTAAATTTTTATTGGCGTGGCTAGTTTATTTATCTATTATTATGCATCTTGCCCCTCCCCACCGTCGCGTGCCACTCATGATGTGTAAACAGCTGGCAGCCGACTTCATCGTTTGCTTTCCTGTCGAACAGCAGTGTTGAAGATAAACGCCTGTTGTGCGTGCTGTCATCAGTCTCGGGGTCATTTGCCGCGTTCATTCGGCGTCATTGTTCATGAATGCGGTGTTGCTTTTGCGGTCTGCCCTCGGACAGCATATCAGATGCTATTAAAGGTTACAAATATGTGAAGTGATGAAAGTGTATTCAGACTGTGGATCTGTGCAGACAAAAGCTAAGTGCGCTGTTGATCGAATGCATCGTCTAATTGCGTCGCATTTCCCCGAGAA